CCACACAGAAACTACATTATTTGCAATACTGCTTGACCAATCACTTAAGTGTATTGGTAGCTAGCTCTTACATCTAGAATTAACCCATTTCCATTATTTTATATTTTACCACAAGGCTCATGGCCTACTCGTAAGGTTCTAGCTGGCAGCTTGCATCTTTCTCCTCTGGTGGCTACATGGCGTCCCCTTGACTCTGCTTTCTTTCTCCCAGCATTCAGTTTTGTTTTCCTTGCCTAGCTCTACTCTACCCCATCACAAACCATATTCTTTATTCATTAACAAATAAAAGCAACACATATACAGAAGGACTTCCCACACCATTGCAGTTTGGAGAGAACTACGCCCAAATTCCCTAAAGGATTGTTTATAAATGTTTGCTTACATTTAAAAGGGGATATGATATATAGATGAATACTTTACATTGATATGGATCTTGGTTTATTGATACAAATTTAAGGTCAATTTTGTTATATGTATATTTCTGCTCTTGATTAAGGTATTGTGAGTTGAAGAATAGATAGTTATAATTATAGTTTTCCTTTGATGGAGGAAGTTCATTGGTTAAATAAAAAGAAACTGCTTGGCCCTCATTGGTTAGAAGATAGGTGGGAGGAGTAAACAGAACAGAACGCTGGGAGGAAGAGGAAGTGATCTCAGACTCCACAGCTCTCCTCTCGGGAGCAGACGCCTCAGAGAGACGCCATGCCCCGGTCCCAGGCAGACGCATGTGATGAAGCTCCGACCCAGGATGGATATAGGCTATAATCTTCCGGGTAAGCGCACCTAGCTGTGCTACATAGAATATTAGAAATGGGCTAGTCCATGTGCGAGAGTTAGCCTAGAAGAGGCTAGATAGAAATGGGCCAAGCAGTGATTAAAAGAATACAGTGTTCGTGTAATTATTTCGGGGCATAAGCTAGCCAGGAGTCTGAGGTTTTGGGAACACAGCCCCGCCTCCCGTATTACTACATTCCTTAGTTATGATAAAAGATAAAGTAGATATAAATATTGTAACTATAATTCTCGCTTAATACTTGTTTTGTTATATGTAATTTTACTAAGTTAAAATTAAAAACTTTCTTTTTATTTAAACAGAAAAGGGGAAATTGTGTGGGAGGTTCTTCTGTCTATGTGTTGATCTTATTGGTTAATGAATAAAGAATCTGCCTTGGCCTGTGATAGGGTAGAGTAGAGCTAGGCGGGGAAAAATTACTTGAATTCTGGGAGAAAGAAAAAAGAACACAGAGTCAAGGGGATGCCATGTAGCCGCCAGAGGGAAAAGACGCAAGCTGCCAGCTGGAACTGTACCGGTAGGCCATAATCCTCATGGTAAAATATAAAATAATGGAAATGGGTTAATTCTAGATGTAAGAGCTAGCTACCAATACACTTAAGTGATTGGCCAAGCAGTTTTGCAAATAATATAGTTTCTATGTGGTTATTTCGGGGCTGAGCAGCTGAATGAACAAGCCGCAGCCAACAACACCTCTTCTGTAATATTTTAAATCAGACACTTCCTTCTATTTCAATGATTGCAATTTCTAAATATGCAATCATTCATATTCTAGACATATTTATTTGTAGACTTACTTTGTTTGTCACCTGCTTTTACCTATTTATGTTGGCCATGGTCCAGGACAAGTTAGAAATAGCCAAAACTGAGTTTTAAGTTTGGGATTGGCCAGTGGAATACCAAGGAAGATTACAAGACAAGATCAAAACTAGCTTTCTGCAGTGGTTACGTTGGAACTTGAGCTATCCCAAATACATGTTGGGAGTCATTGCTGGTCAGATTCTCCCCACCATTTAGCAGCTTGTCTCCATAAGCTGGGCAAAAAAGGAGCTCCTTCCCTGCAGCAGAACTTCCTGCCTCTACCTGCTCTTATCCTTATCTTGAGAAGGTCCCTGGGCCAGGAGGACTGACCTTATCTCAAAGCTATCTCTAAATCAGAGGCCCTATTCAGCTTTAGTTTAGACTCTTGGCACAGTTCTGCTGAGAACACGTGTGCTAGGTTTTATGATTTTTTAAAAAATGCTGGAGGGTCCCAGGAAGCAGTATGCAGCCATCCCTGGTGGGCTGGTCCCACCCCGTGCGGTTTCCCAGTGGCCAGTGGCTGAGCAGGCAGTGGGTAAAAGGCAATAGAGACATTGTAGAGAATAGAATTGGATATTTATTACTTAGAGGGGGGAGAGAGAGAAAGTTGGGGAGGAAGGAGAAGAGAAGAAGAGGAGGAAAGAGACAGAGAAGAAGAGACACATGTACAAAGAAGGAACCATAAGAGTTTCAAGATGGCAGGGAGGGGAAGCAGGGGTCACCGGGAGTGGGCATGGCTTGCCTCTTAAAGAGACAAAAACCATAACACTAGGGACTTACTATTGGACCCTACTGTCACATACTAAGCCCTGTGATAGGGCCGTGCCACTTAATGCAAATTTTCACCAAAATCTGTCTCTTGGAGGGCTGCCTCCATTCATGCTCATGGGCCGCCAAAGCACTCTGTTGTCTCATCTGCCTCTTTCCCCTCTTGACCTGGTGGCCAACAGGCTGAGAGGGAAGGAAGACCCCCCCCCAAACACCAGTACACATAATTAAGTATTGGTGTATTGCCCCTTTGAGCTAGTTGTAGAGGCTTCCCCAGAGGGGCTCTGGGCCACAAAACCCACACTGTTACAAAGTTGTTTCTGACCTTATGCCAGAGTCAGGTTCCCGATTCCCCACATCTAGGCTAACTTTTACATTTGAACTTAAGCTTCTGTTTAGAAATGCTCGCACACATTTTTTTTTTTTTTTTTTTTTTTTTTGCAGAAAACCCAGCAAAGAGGACAGACGTGCCTTCTGGGCGGAGGTGGCCTCGACCTGCCTTATTGGAAGGTCCCAAGATCCGGAGCTGGACGAGCCCTTGGCGTATTGTGCTTCCTCCCTGCTTCCCTCCTTAACCACGCTCTGTGGGTGCTGGAGCACAAAGCAGAGCCTGGAGCAGGGAAGGCCAGTGTCACTGGCTTCACACCCCGCTCTGCCCCCTTTCTAACTTTCTTCTTTGTCTCTGCTTTTCTATTCAAGGATTGTCCAGAAAACAGTGTGTTCACAGTCTGAGTGAAGGATGTTGACTTCACAGATGGAGAAGGGCTTGAAAAAAAAGCAGAACAGAAAGCTCAAGTGGATTGGTAATTTCAAAATTATTTTCCTTGTAAGGAAAGTATAGGAGCCAGGACAATGGGCAAATAAGGGGTTAATTAGCACCATGTTACTTTATTTTATGTAGATTAAGCTGAAGAGAGCCTCATTATCTTGGCAATTAAAGATAATTAAATTATCTTGCCTGTTTGGTAAATTTGGCTGTTAGCTTGCTAATTTTTCAATACTAAACATCTTTTAAAAAAATTATATTGAACCCAAGATCTCACTCATGCCAGGCAAGCCTTTCACCACTGAGAGGCATTCCCCCAGCCACCTTCCATCTTGAGTCCTGTATACTCTCTGAGCTGTGCTGCTCTCTGCTCGGGTTTCAGGCAGGTGAAAATTCAAGGGTCAAACGAGATAAGGACATTTGGACAGAGCCCAGAGAACGAAGTGCTGGCTGAGCTAGGCTCTTGGCTGCCAGCGAAGGGACATGAACTTTGGCATTGACTACTCTTGCTCTGCTGGAGCAAGGAAGCCCCATAGCCAGATCTCAGCACTAAAGCTGTTGGCTAGGCACCTACCCCAGAATCTTCACCCCCTTTCCCCAAACGCAGCTGCCTAAAACTGAGCCCGTGTTCTCTTTCGGGAGTGGTTCTTCCCATTATTTGCTTCGATGAACGGCCCATCATAACATAGCTTGTCAAGGCAGGGTATGTCTTTCAGTTGCTTTCCCCTCCCATCCAACAGCCCCTAAAGATCTATTTACTCTGTCCAAAATGTATCCAACATTTTCCTCTTCAGTGTTTCCTCTTCCGCCCTCTTTTGTCTCCTCCCTGGCCCTTTATGTGTTCTTGTCCACCTCTCCTCAAGACTCCTTAGAAGGACAAAGTGACCTTTCTGTAAATAAACAGATTCTCACCACCCTCTGGAGGAGCCCTGCGCAAGACCATTTTCTGCAGGAAATGCACACACTGAAATCTCATCTCATCCCCCTCTTTAGTTTGGTGGCTCCATTCTCTTCCTGCCCCAGCCTAGCTAGTATTTCCCCTACCTGTAATCCCCTCCCCACCCCAGGTTACGTACTTCTGTTTCCTTTCCTTGGGAAGGCTCCCCCCCCCCCTCCCGTGGGTGCATAGTGGTCTTTTATTTTGCCACCATCTGTCAGCACATGTCCACACTTTTCTCCCAAGTCCTGTCAGGTTACAGTGGTATTCAAAGTTAACCAGCACTCTAACTCTATCAATGACATTGGCCTTTTTTTTTTCTTTCCTTTTTTCTTTTTGCCGAGCTGTAAGTTTGTTTCTAAGGTCTAGCTGCCCAATATTTGTTGAATAAATAATAATAATAAAAAAAAAACACTGTATTCCCAACTTACATGTTGGTGTTCCCAACATGTAAATTCTAAACTCATTTAGCTGCAATTCATTTTTTTTTCGGGGGGAGGGGTCCCGCTTTGTTTGGGGAGGGTGGTGGTGGGGGTGCAGGTTTTGCGTTTTGACAGTTTCAGAATGATTTTCATATAGTAGATCCAGGGGGGTACACTCTGAGAAGTCTTGATCAGTGCTGTGAAGGATAACTGTATTTTTCAGAGGCTATGTCAAAAAGCCTCCCTAGAATGGAAGTCAAGTACTATTTATCTAGGTCAGTGGCTGAACTCAGAACACGTTGTGAAGGTATAGGGAGATATAAGCAAGAAGAGAACGGAATCAGCCATTTCGCCGCACAGATCTTGGCGGCGCTCTCTTCTAAAAGAATTTCCAAGCCAATGCTATTGGACGAATTTTCTAAGAGGAATCGTATTGGACTACATTTCCCATGATGCCAAGCCGTCCTCACGCAGGCCCACTTGGAAACAGGCGTCTGCTTCCTGAAACCGGCGGGTGACTTGCTGGTGTCCCGCCCCTCCTCTCCTTGCCCGCTGTCTTGATCAAGCCGAGCTTACCCGGGTGCACTGCCAGTGTGTGCTTGGTGCCGGCTACACTCATGGCTCTGCCGCTGAGGTTCGACGGGCGTGTGGTCCTGGTCACCGGCGCCGGGGGAGGTGAGCCTCGCGCCGGGCCCACTGTCCCTATGGCAGGGCTGCGGCGTGCAGCTGCGGGATGCCGAGCTGGTGGTGGATCGAGGGGGACACGGGTGGGCCGAGCATGTAGGGGCACCGGGTGCACCGGGACATTAACCATGCAGGCAGGTGCTCGCTCCGGAGTCCCCAGCCGGGATGGAGCGTCCAAGGCCCACGGCTTTCCCAGGGGAGAGATGTCAGCAGTGTAGCCGGGTGCACAACTGGGTAAAAGTTCGTCCTCTCTCGTGTGTGGGCATGGACTGTGAGTTCTGCTGCCTTTGGACGCTTAGGCCTCTGTCAAGTTACACATGGGCTTAAAAAGACTTTTTGGGTCCTGCTTTCCTCCCAAGGGATTGAGTTGCCAGCTCCTTGACTTTGAATAGTCGGTCGTTTAGTGTTTGTTTTCCTCTGTCTTGTGATTCAGGTTCTTGACAGGGCCACATACCAAAGTTCACCTGAATTGTGGCAAAGGTCGCAAACTCAAATGTGTGAGAGGGCAAGGGATGATACAGGGATAATGGGAGAGGAGAAGAGAACTTGAGAGCAAAGGCATTTCTGAAGTGAGTCAGGCGCTGGAAAAGCTGCCAGTCTTGTATTGCAGATTAGGAGAATTGTAATCGAAACAATGCTAAGTTTAAAGGACAGGAAATTAAACAGCTCCACGTAGACAGATGTTTTGCAGTGAAATTTCCCCATTAGTTTCACAGCAGTGAGGGGCCTCTAGCCTCCGTGTGTAGTGCAGCGACTTAAACCTTTGATCTCTCACCCTTACAGGTAAAGGGGCTCTTCTGCACCAGTTGTTATTAAAGAGGTGGGGGTCTCATCCAGCCCAAGCTGGCTTTAAACTCCTCAGCTTCCTCCCTCCATCTCCCAGGGGCTGTCATTACCCAGGTCTGCCACCAACACTGGGAAAAGTCTGATTAATTTATCCATTTTGGTTCATTTGTATATGTATTTATCAGTTTACTCCAAATATAAATTTCTTGCTAAGCTTCTCCACTTAGCAACTAAAATTGAAAAAAAAAAAAGTTAAAGACGTTTAAGCCAGACAAGTATCTTCTCGCTGGTTGGTTCTCCAAAGCTCTTCTCTGCTTGCTAGTCTCTCAAATTTAGAGTTAAAATGATTTGAAGTTGGCAGTTGGATATTCAAGGTTCAGCACAGATTGTAGAAATCACTGGATGTTTTAGAACGGTAAAGAATTCAGCAGAAGCATTTGCGTTTGAAGTGGGGTTTTGGAAGTCATCCCTTTGATCTGTCGCTGGATTTCTGTCTTAGTCTAAGTAGCCTAGGACATCAGGGGCCTGAAATATGGAAGCTGATGCCCAAGGATTAGGAGACCAGATCAAGAAGTTACCTCTTGGGGGCTGGAGAGATGGCTCAGTGGTTAGGAGCATAGCCTGCTCTTCCAAAGGTCCTGAGTTCAATTTCCGGCAACCACATGGTGGCTCACAACCATCTATAATGAGATCTGGTGCCCTCTTCTGGCCTGCAGACATACACACAGACAGAATATTGTGTACATAATAAATAAATATTTAAAAAAAAAGAAGTTACCTCTTTAGGCTCGGGTTTTTTAAATACGAGGATGTTTCAGGAGAAGCAGCTTCTTAAGCAGCAGGTGCTGGAGCACTGGTAATAATAAGGTATCTGTGTCATTTCTTCTCTCTCTCTCTCTCTCTCTCTCTCTCTCTCTTTCTCCCTCCCTCCCTCCCTCCCTCCTTAGACAGGTTTTATCTGTGTAGTTTTGGAACCTGCCTTGAACTCACAGCCTCCCAGAGTGCTGGGGTTAAAGGCATGCGCCACCACCGCCCGGCTGTCATTTCTACTTTTAAAATTTCACGAAAATCCACCTAGTGATGGTCTCCAGTTCACACTTGGCATTGAGCAACCGGGGAGGATGCTAGGGAATGCTAGGGAAAGCAGGCCAGCAAAAGCGGCTCCAACTTTCTATCTTTTGCAGTCAGAAGAGAGAATGTTGAGAGTACCAACGAAGATGCCATCTGCAACTGTAACCAGTTGCTGACTTGTTATTTTAAGATGGAGATCAAGTTTCATGGACTAAAGTAATTATGCTAATATTTTGCAACTTTTTTCTCTTTGTTTTGTTTCTGATTAGGACTGGGCCGATCTTATGCCCTGGCTTTTGCAGAAAGAGGAGCGTTTGTGGTTGGTAAGTTGTCTTTTAAATTAGTAGCTGCGAGCAAAAGCACAGTTTTCACAGGTGCCTTTTGTCCTCCTGGTGCATAATGAACTTGGTTGTGAAAGTGTAAGCTAAATAAACCCTTCCTCTCCCTTCTTGCTTTTGGTCACGGTGTTTCATCATGGCAGTAGAAACCCTAAGACATGCTGGAGCTCTGTGGTGGTTGGCTCCAGAAACCCCGCCTCAGAAGTGCTGTGGTTCTTCCACTCTTACTTCCGTGACCAAACCCTTGAGCCGTGCCTGAAGCTGAGGGCATCATTTAAGATACGTTCTAATTTCACGACAATACAAATGCTGTGCTTTATATTCCACAATATAAAGTATTGTGGAATATTTAAATTTGTGCGTAAGATTTTCTTTTGTTTTGACTAAAATATAAGCTTCGTTCTAAACCTTCTATCAACCCGTTGTTAGCTGTAATCCCGTGCACGGGATTGCCACTCTAACAGCCCAAATTTGGTTTTGTATAAGTGGCACATTTTAGTAAAACTTTGCTCACGTCCGAAGCAGGTGCAGGGAACTGAGCGGGAGATAGCGGCACCCGGGTCTCTGAATTATGCTTTAACTGGAGAGCATGAACATAAAAGACAAGAGTTAGGGCTTCTAGCAGGAACTGCAGTTGACAAGTCAGAAAGTTTTGTTCTCTTGAACTGAGGAAGTAGCATCTTGGACAAGTCAAGCTACAGTCTTATAAACTAAGATGGGCATGACTTCTTTCTGTGCTGGACTTACACAACCGTGGGTAAACCACAGCTTAAATCCCTGCGGGCTACAGGATCCCGGTCCTGATAGGTGGAAAGTCAGTCCGTGAGGCAAATCCACTGATTGACCTTGAAACCAGCTGAAATCTCCATCTACTGCTTAGTCACACCGTCCCTTTGTGCCTACTTCCCCAATCTGTAGTATTAACTGAGTAACTTGGATGAAAAATTTAAGGCCTTCATAGAAGATATAGGAACACTGAGTTACACCTCAGTATCAAGTACACATTGTGTGTCTGAGCTGTACTGAATTCATAAGTCAACATGAAATCTTGTAAAAGAATTAATTTTAAAAAGTCAAAGTGTGTGTGTGTTCTGTGGAGCATGTATGGAAGTCTGAGAACAACCTTCAGGAGCTGGTTCTCTCCTTCCCCATGCTGGTGGATCTAAGGGATTAAACTCAGGCCGTCAGGCATGGCACCACATGAGCCTGTCACCAGCTTGAGTTGAGATCTTGCTTCCTTGGTGGTATTGGGAGGCCTTGTCTTCCTCCAGCCTCTACCACCACAGCAGCGGTCTTGGTTCTTGTGTTGATGAGAAAAAGTTCGTAGGCAAGCATCCAGAGTGTTTCTTTTCTAACAGTGATAAAGTAAAATCACACTCGTTATTGAAAAATCATTCATCATATGTGTTATGGGTGTTTTGTCTGCTTATGTTTCATTCACCATGTGTGTACCTTATCCTCAGGGACTGCAGCTGCAGAGGGTTCTGGAACTTGACATGTATGTGGGTGCTGGGAATCAAACTTGGGTCCTGTGGAAGAATAGGCAGTGTGGTCTTAGCCATCCAGCGATCTCCTCTGCTCTGAAATTATACTCTTGAGGCTGGGGGCAGGTTTGGTGTGTTTTAAAGTTACCAAGGGGGTCAGTGTGGCTGGACTTGGTGGGGTCACTGAAGGGAATAAATGCCAGAGACAAGAGCATAGAGTTAGCGTGAGGCTGGACACACAGAGCGCTTGGCTTCTGACCTGGTTCGAATGGTGCAAGGTTGCAGAGTGGGCGTGGAGGAGCAGCACAAGTGACCTGGTGAGGGGTGAAAGCTTTGTCCTGGGTGCTCATCTTGGACTAGATCAAGAGTGGAAAGGAAGTGGAGGGGCACGATGACTGGACACATAGGTTGGTTGTTTTGCATATACTTTGTAATTTTTTTAAAATGAAAATAAACAAGTATAAGCAAGGAGACTAGCCAGAACCTATTACAGTAATTCACTGCATAGGATTTGGGTGTGGGTGTTCTCCAAGGCTTCGTGTGGTAAAATTTAGTCCCAGTTGGTTTTGTGTGTGTGTGTGTGTGTGTGTGTGTGTTAAGATGGTGAGGTCTGGTCTCACAGTGCTGTTTTGATGTTTTTGAGGTGGGACCTTTGGAGGAGATTAGGTTTCAGTGGACCAACCTTCTGTGCACTGCCTTCATAAAATCTGTTGACTTTGTGAGGAAAGAGAAGAGCCAGGGAGCGGGAGAAATGCGGGTTCCACCTATTGTCATGTGGTGTTAACGCTGTTGCGTCCGTTCTCCCCCTCTCCCTCCCCCAGTGCATACAGGTCACCCTCAGGTACCACTCATCAGGAGCTGGTTCTTATGGGCTTGGAGAGCACTTGGTTAGGCTAGCTAACTAGCAAGCTCCAGCTGTCCTCCCGCTCTGCTTCCCCAGCCCTGGGATTGAGTGCACCACCATCAGCAGTGCTTCATGCTTGCAAGGCAAGTCATTTACTGACTGAGCTATAGCCCAAGCTCTGGATCTCTTTCCCTTCTTGGAGACAAGATCTCACGTAGCTCAGGCTGACCTTGAACCCCATAGGTTAACAAAGATCTTGAACTGATCTTCCTGCCTCCACTCCCACATGCTGAAATTACAAATGTGTGCCTTCTTGCCTGGTGTTTGTGGTACAGGTACTCTAGAACCCAGGGCTTTGTGCATGCTAGCAAGCATTGTGCTAATCAAGCTCTTGTTTCTACCTAAATAGCCTGCTTTAAGTAATTGGTTTTGGTCATGAAAAGCATGCCATAAATCCATGCTGAAAACGATAGTGGTCTAGAAAGGATGGTTGGAATGGAGGTTGAACTCTGGGTGTATTCTGAACGTAGGTAGGGTGGGGTTTGTTGAATGGTTATGTGTGCAATGTAAGGGGAAGGAACGTTAAGGATGATTCTAGGTTTTTGAGTTGAGCATCTGAAAAACTAAATGTGTCCATTTCCCAAGTCAGGGGAGAATGGCGGAGGAGCAGACTGGCAGGCAGCAGACATCTCTGTTAGATTTGCAGTAGGCAGTGGGAGCAGCATTCTGAGATGGAGGCCAGGTCTATGTTGAAAAACTTATTTCCTTTCTTTATTTTCTCTCTCTCTCACTGCCACGTGTAGCCCAGGCTGGCCTGGAATTCAATCATTGGTTAAGAATAGCCTTCAACTCTTTATTCTCTTGAGTGACCAGTCTCCATTACAAATCCACTTTCGGTCTCTGATAGTTCAGTTCCTAAACAAAACAGAATGTTAGATTTAGTATTAAATCAGCTGGTGCTGCTCCTCTGCTCCTCCTCTGATATGTGATCTGAGTGTTGCCCCTGTGTAGGTAGTATTTAAAGCCAGGGCTGATTAGGCACTGGGTACAGATGAACAGGAAAAGAGATCCAAGGATCGGTCTTCGTCTTTCTTTTCCAGTTTTCTTCTCCTTTAAGGAAATGCTGGCCTCCTTGGTGAGGCAAAGATAATCAATTACAGGGATTGCTAAAGCTTGACTGATGATCTTGAAACTGAGTCCCAGCTGTGCCGAGGTGTGGCTCTTTGATGAGGATTAAAGTCAGGAAGGCTGTGTCCTCGCTAATGAGAGGACATCTAAAGGGACTAGGGTTGCAGAAACTCTCCCTCGGACATAGGCCTTAGGCCTCAGGCTTCTTCCCATCTGGCCCCATTAAGGAAACAGAACTGTAGCGGGCAGAACGGCCTCGTGCACACAGGTAAGTGCCAGAGGAGCCAGGGAAGTTACACCCACAGTTTGCTTCTCCAGTGGAATGAGGTGCGGAGCTGCTCCCCTGGAATGCCAGGTGTGGTGCTCGTTTTTACCTCTGGTGCTCAGTTGCTGTCTGATGAGGCAGGGTCTACCCGGACCTCCCAGAATTTATGTTTTTATTAATCCCTGGCCCATTCTCCCTAAATCTTGAGCATTGCCTTTAGGCCCTATACCCCATCCTTATGAGAGATGTCATTTGTACTTTACTATAGCCTAAGTGTTATCTTAGGGCCAGGCCAGTCATGACTCCCACAGGCATTGTGTTTACCTCAGTCGTTCTCCCTAGACCCTTACCTAGAGCATTGTCTCTACTTCACCAGGTACCCATCTTACAGATGAAGCCACATGTATTTTGCGAAGAGCTTCCACGCACGCTTTGCTGTACCCATGGGGCTGAATTAATTGTTATCCGAATACCTTTTCTCCAGAATTGTATGGCCAAAGGAAAATGATCTGGATCAGACTCTCGGAAGTCCTGGTCCAGCTCTAGTTTCAATAAAATCCAGTTGAGTTCATTCTTGCCTCCCTCTGAAGTTTTTTCCCTGCCTGCTCTAAAGTCTGCAGGGAACCCCACAGAGAACAGTCCTCTATAAGTTTGAGGCTTGGCCATTCTAATTACTAGAACAGTTGCTGCTGGTGGTGGTGAGAATCCCGTTTAGTAGCTCCCGAGCCTGCAGTGTTTGTTCTGAGTGGCACGAGTAGCAAGGGTCAAGTCAGATAGCTAGCTCAGGATTTTGCTTTCTGAGTGGCTCTTCACTTCTGAGCCCTTCATGCATCCAGATACATTTGTAGCCATTCTAGAAAAGATTCTTCCTGAGCCAAGACACAGGACTGTCTGTCTTTCTATCAGACTTTGGAAACAATATGATAGCCAGCCCCAATTTCCCTCGGTTCCCTGGCAGCTATGTAGCTTTTGATGAAGCTCAACAAGGTCCTCAGCAACTACTGGCTATGCCTTGTAGAAGCTGTTTTTCTCGAATGTAAAAAAAAATCACACACACACGTGTATAACATACACAACACATATGTAATACCTTGCTAATTTTTCTTTTGTCTCTTTTGAAACAGGTATTGTTGTCAGGTTACTTAGTCTGCCCTTGAACCCCTAATCGTCTTGCCTTCACTCTTCTTTTCTTTGGTTTTTCGAGACAGGGTTTCTCTGTGGCTTTGGAGCCTGTCCTGGAACTAGCTCTTGTAGACCAGGCTGG